TCAATTAAACAAGCACAAATAAGAATTATGTTCACATCAATTAAACAAATCAACTTTTACAAATCATCTTTTACAAATCAATTAAACAATAAAAAAATAAGCAATAATTCTTATTTCCTCATCTACTATTGAATCAACTTTTGCAGCCATACATCATTTTCACGCAGCTCACTTTTAAGATTAATCTGCATAAACCAAACATTTGCTCAAACAACACTTTCTACACATCTAAAACCTACAAACAGCAAATTATTGAATTCTAGGTACTTAACCAAACATTTTCAAGCCACAAGCCTATAAACTTACCAATTGTTTATGGACATTTTTATAACGCGGATGCAGGTAGGCAGCGTCTCGTATATATCGATCTAGCCATATAATGTCGAAACCACAAGCCTACTACAGCTCTATCTCTATCGGTGGGAGGTAGATACTTTATACTTCCTGTGATCAAACGCTCCAACGCCAAGCATACGAGAGGACCACAATCCCCTCTGGGTCCTTTCGTTTGTTGTGGTGCCGTCTCGTCTCTACTAACTGTAATATTGAGCTTCTTTGGCTTCTTATTTCCAGAACGAGTCCAATAATTTATCACATCCAAGAATTTAGCCAAATGAGAGCTCCATCCCTTAATAATATCTCTTAAATCAGCCAATGATATGTAATTTATCATGCTGTCATATACTATTGCCTTAAGGGATGGGAGCTAAAGCTCGACGAGAAGCCAATGTTTACATTCCAAAATAGGGATAAACACCTGCAATCATAAGTAATAATTCATTCATTTGCGCACTTATTTATGAATACCTTTAAACTCAATCTAAAATAAATACTAACCTTATCGACCTCCCACCATGAAGGATAAAGTTTAGCTTGTCCATTGCCCAAAGCAAATGATTCATCTCGTTGATTCTTCAAGTGAACGACGTTAAAAGACGTCGGCATAATTGTATATCGTGTATTTCTTTTATTTTCCTTAAGTTTCCTAATTATTAGAAGACGTGACACCCACGCATCGATATGCTGTTTTACAAAAAAAGACATATATTAGTAACTTACATAAATTTAAAAAAAAAATAATCAAATTAAAATATAAGAAAAATATAATACTTACCCCTCCATCAAAATAGCCATTGTCTTCGACTCCTAATAATACGCCCCACCAAGACCGATCAAGCAACAAATAGATATCATCGTTGAGCTTGCATATGTCAGTGAAACACCCCTGGCTCTGCTCATGTAGATAAAAATCAACTGTGGTCTTAGCCCAAAGGGTGTTATCCAGAATTGTGTCCGGTAGTTGTCTCCTCTCCACTTCAGATACCGGTATGGTACTGGACGGTAACTCATACGAGAGCCAACTTGAATCCATCATGTCCGGCACGTCAGAGGGTTTCTCAAGAATCCTACATATGATGCCATGTGAATTGGGCTCTTGAATGGTGGGAGGGACCTCTTCAACGATGACAGTGGCCTCTTGAACGGTGGGAGGGGACTCTCGAGGAATGATAGGGGCCTCTTCAACGATAGGAGTGGACTCTTGAGGGATGATAGGCGAGTTGGGCTTCTTCTTGCGGTGTCTTCGCACTATTGGGGTGTACAGAGACTTAATAGCACGTGCACGCCGTCTGATGCGTGAACTCTGTCGTGCAATAAAAACCCGACGTAAAGCATCCACCTTATCGGTCCGCTAAATAATTAAATACAAATATCAGTAAATAAACAGACATGATATTTAAACAGTGAAAACAAAGACAAATATGTTTCAAACTTGCATTGAATTCACCCAAGTCATTATTCTATCATAGTTCACAAAATGCATCAGATAACAAAGGCAAATATGTTTCAAACTTGCAACACTGTCAACTTAGTATTTGTCTTTGTCTATTAGTTGAAGTAATTCAATTCATTCAAGTTTCAATTTGCAGAAGAAGAATAGTTTCAATTGGCAGCAAACGAACAAATTTACTTTCAACCAAAAGACAAAACAAAAGACAACTACTAACCTCACAGTGTTAATAAACAGTTTAGCAGTATTGGCAGCAACCGAATAAATTTACTAAGCAATCTAAGTGAAATGGTTAATCTAAGTGAAATTACGAGTAAATTTATCATCAAGTTAAATATGGAAAATCTTAAACTTACCTCGTTGCGTAGAGTATGAACCTCATTCTGCAACGATACTACCATCTCACGTAGAGCGGCAACCTCACCACGTAAAGTAGACACCTCCACACGCCATGCACCATCGTTATCGCGTAGAGTACCGATCTCCTCACGCAAGGCATTGACCTCATCACGTAACTCCCTTGATTCATCCCGTGGAGGTGGAGAACAGGGAGATAGAAGTCGTGGCATCTTTGTCGGTCGCCTATCATGAGGTGATGGTGGAGAAGAGGCTCGATGATGTGACGGGATAGGTGATGGCTCTCGTTGTACAGGTGTATAGTCGGGTCTATCAGGTGATGGCTCTGGGTGAGGTGATGGCTCTAGAAGTGGAGGCTGCTCATCATTCGTTCCATCAAAAAAATGCTGACTAGCTAGCCACCAATCAGTGGCAAGCTCAGCCTCCGTGGGTGTCAGTCTCATGGAGTGTTGGCCTCCTAAAAATATAAAAACTCAAACAAAGTTAAACGTCTACTATTAATAACTTGTTTATATATGATAGTATTTGTGTTAACTTACATTATTTATTGTCGCATATGATATTAATTCTTCCCAATCCAACAGACGTTTCCTCTTCCAGGAAATAGCCCTAGGAATATCATTTGAGGTTTTTAATGCATATGTTCGCATGCTGGGGAAAGCCTCGAATATCCAAATCTACAAACAATATAATAACAAACATTAGTAATTGTTAAATAATTAATTATAATTTTGAAAACATTATATATAAATTCTTACCTTAAAGGCTCAAACAAAGCCTGACAAAGTGTATTTCGACCCATCGCCCCGCAAACTTTTGCGGTCATCAAAGGCAGACGACAACTTAGTCCAGGTAGCTTTCCATATATACGAACCCCACGGAAACAGATTCCATGCATTTAGGTCCTCTACCAATAATATTAGCTCCTGAGGAATAGGTTGTTTGGCCTCTCTGCCTAAAAAGCCGGCATACAAAAGTAGTAGAAGGCATACTCGGACAACATCGACGTCATTTATCCGAGTAAAACCATCTTTTTTATTAAACAATTTCTTCATGTCGTCGACGTGTAAGTTCGGCTTCTCTATTGACTCATCAGGAAAAACCCTGGATAACCATGATGGGCGGGTGATATGACGAGTGTACCGGCCTACATCATCGTGTCCGAATCGTAGACCAGTGATTAAGCAGAACTCCTTCCGCCTAAAACAAGTATACGCCGGTGGAAAATGAAACCATATCTCTTCTTCACCACGTTGTATACTGTCGGGTAGATCACTAGTCATGGTCTGAAGCCACAAATGGGTCAAATTAGCATCTCCACCCGGATGTTGTACTCTCAGCCATAGCCCGAAGCAGGTTTCCTCAAACAATTTTCTTTGTGCAGGTGAAAGCTTTGAAGCAATTATAATGGCTAGGCTAACTTTATTCCTTAATGTCAATGAAGCCGAAAATTTTTTTTACAAAAACAATAAACATACCAAGTTAGATATACCAAAAACTACACTGTGAAGATATACCAAAAACAATAAACAAAAATAGTAGTTTATTCTTGAAACTAAAATTTGCAACACTGTTTTGTCTTTTGGTTGAAATGAAAATCGCAACGAGAGAATGAAAATCGCAACGCGGAAATGAAAATCGCAACGAGAGAATCGCAACGTGAAATGAAAATCGCAACGAGAGAATCACAACGTGAAATGAAAATCACAACGCGATTTTGGTTTCGCGTTGCGATTATCTCGTTACGATAGTCATTTCCGCGTTGCGATTTTCATTCTCGAAACTATTCTTCTTCTGCATTACTTCAACCAAAAGACAAAACAAAGACAAATACTAACTTCACAAGGTTAAATACTAAACACTTTAGCAGTATTGGCAGCAATCGAATGAATTTAATAAGAAATCTAAGTGAAATGGTTAATCTATTATTGAAATTACCAGTAAACTTATCATCAATTTCAATATGAAAAACCTAAAATAATGCAAAAATTTCAAAATAAAAATAATTAAAAAAACTAACCCTCGGATGTTGATTTTCCATTTCTGAATGATTGTGAGGGATTTCTGACCGTGAATGGTTGTGAGGGATTTCTCCAGCGATGGGGATGAAAATCTTCGGAGATGGGGACGGATTTCGCCGTAGAGAGTGAGAGATGGAGATGGAGATGGGACTGAGTGTTGTGATTTTAGGTTTGAGGTTATGAGTTACGATTACTGTGGACGGTTCAGTTTTCGATATATTAAGAAAAAATTCGTGTTTGGAATTTAAAAAAAAATATGCGTTAATACGAATGGCGCTATGTAAATCGTATTGCGATAGTCAGATTCGCATTGCGATTTACATATTTGCATTGCGATTTTCCTAATTCGCATTGCGATTTACTTAATCGCGTTGCGATTTACGTATTCGCATTGCGAATTATGAAAATCGCAACGCGAATACGTAAATCGCATTGCGATTTTGTATTATCGCGTTGCGATAGTCAGTATCACATTGCGATTTTCCAAATTCGCATTGCGATTTACTTATTCGCATTGCGAATTGGGAAAATCGCAATGCGAATTGGGAAAATCGCAATGCGAATTGGGAAAATCGCAATGTGAAATTAGAAAATCGCATTGCGATAGTAATAATCGCGTTGCGAATCTGGAAACTGATTTGCGATAATGGAGATCGCGTTGCGAATTAACGATCGCATTGCGATTTTATTGGTCATTTTGACAAATCTAAAAAAATTGATTAAAATCGTATATTATATGAGATTTTTGGTCATTGAGGTTATTTTCTCTTTTCATAATTTGTAACTTGAGAAAGACTCCAACCAAGACTCTTTCTTTTCCACTTCAGTTTTTCCTTTCGGGTGGTTTCATTTGTCAGCTCCGAGTCTTTACTGTTCAAAGGATCATCAAATCATCAATACCCAACGCAAGGGATTCTCAAGGTTTGGCTTTTCAGTTGCTCATCATCCCTCCATAAGGTATGGGTTCATGGCCTACTTTGCTAATTTTTTATATCTTTGCTTAAAATTTCTAGTTTTTTTTATGGCTGTTTTATGCTCTTTGTATTCTTTCCATCTTTCTCTTCTTTATATGGATTAGCTTTTGGGGTTTTTTTTATTATGTATAAGTAATTTGATAGAATCTATTTAGTATGTGATGGGTTTCCATGATCTGTGTTTATATATTCTAATTTATCAACTTTGGTTCTGAAGAATTGGTTTGTTAAAAAAACCGGGGAGAATGATTTGACAGTCTCCTATTTGTAGTGGTTGATAGTTGAAAATTGTTTGGTTGTTTGTCTCAATTCTCAAGAAATTATATGGACAGAACTTAACCTTTTAGCAATGGAAAACATAGTTTGGGTGCCCCTTCTATTTTTGCAACTAATGTAGGATTTCAAGTCTTTCCAATATCTAAGTTTTGGGGTTTTGAAGGTAAGAATAGGAGCTTGCTTGATTCTATTATTTATAGCAATTTTCCCCTGATTCTGCCTTTTTAGATAGCTGGTTAAAGTTCATGTCAAACAGCAAATTCTCACATTCGGGTTTTACTTTACTGTGTCCGATTATGGTGTTTGTATGTATTTCCTAAGGTTTTCCTTGTCTTAATGGTATTTTTTTGTTCATCATTTTGCTTTGCTTTTATTTGCTACAGCTTCCTCTTTGTCTGCCCGCCTGCTTGCCTTAAATATAATTAGGGCTATCAAAGGCTTTCTAATTTGAACTGGATATTATGTTTTTTTTTCATCTTATGACAGTGAACCTGCTGAATTTGTGCATTGCAAGATGTTCTCATCTCCCGGGTACTTAAAGAGACCAAAGCATGGTTCATAAAGCTGACTTAATTGTCATTGGCATCTTCGTTGGCTTGGCCCTTGGTATCTTGATAGCTACACTGGTATTTTTCGGGATAAGGTGGTACAGAAAATATGCAAAACTGAGCTGCTCAAATGCACGTAGTGTTACGGTTATTCCAATAAGAACAAACGGCTTTGGTACGAGTACCGACTTCAGTGCGTCTCTCTCGAGTGCTGTGCCCGTTGAGGTACCAGAATATCATAAGAAAAGTTCTCCGAATTCTTGGTGGAGTCCTCATAGTAAAGATCAATTTGCTTCTGCTTCTGGCTTGCCAAAGTATTCTTATAAGTAAGTTCATTGCTAAATTGAGCATACACAATATACAGTAGAATATCAAAGGCAATTCTTGTGGTGAGGCTTACCAAAGTATTCCTATAAGTTCATTGCTAAATTCAGCATACACATTATGCTTAACTTGTGTATCAAAGGCAATGCTTGTTTAGAAGCTTGCCAATTTTCACATTTCCTATAATGATAAGAAATAGATATATGAATTTTAGTTTACTGCTCCTATTTTAAGCTAAATGATTAACGTTCAATGTTTGTTTGTGAAGTTATGTTTAACTCATTCACTATACTTTTCATGGATTTACTGAAAGCTACGCAAAAGTTTACAACTATTTTAGGAGAAGGATCATTTGGTCCTGTGTATAAAGCTTCAATGCCTACTAGCGGTGTAGCAGCTGTGAAGGTGCTTGCTTCTGATTCCCACCAGAGTGAGAAAGAGTTCCACACAGAGGTAAGCTGCACTAACCATGCAAAAGAAGGCATCCTACAATCTTGGGAATAGATAGTTTCCTGGAAGTCCTTTTCTATCATAATGGTACTGCCTGGACTAATCCAACTGTATGAAGAACTGGTCTATTTCAATTGAAATAAAAAATAATATTTGACTTTGTTTTGTATGAAAGCATTGTGAGCGAAAGTTTTTTGAAGTACCGCTGATTACCTTTCAGTAGCCTGTACAAGTAGGTTAAAAAAACCGATAATTCTATCTGGACAGGTGCTAAGTTGCTAACATTGCAATTCCATTCTTTGAATAAGTGGAATGAGATTCTTTTTGAGAATATTTTAGTAACTAACATATCGGGTTAGCATTTTTACTATTAAACCTTTTTCCCTTTTTCAGGTTTGTCTACTAGGAAGGCTGCATCACCGGAACCTCGTGAACTTGGTAGGATACTGTGTGGATAAAGGGAAATGCATGTTAATTTTTGAGTTCATGAGCAATGGAAGCTTGGCAACGTTACTATATGGTAAGCTTGAGAGCCACTCCTTTTTTTGCAGCGCTCCTATTATATTGTCTATTGTAGATGAGTGGTAGAACATGGTAATTTATGCAAAATCTCACTTTTTCTTTCCAGTGGTTTGTAGTCTAGGATCACGGCCACCCGTCCGACTTACTTTTACTGCCCATTTATGTTTTAACCTGTAGTATAGATCAAAATATCTTATGTTCTAAATAATAAGCTTGCTTCTGATGATAAATGTTCTACTATTATCTTGTTGCGCGAAGTTCAATTCTGTCAAATGCTTCTAGCTGGCAAGCTTTTGAATCCATCAAGATTTTAATGTTATTTGGACCCATAAATGGCATGGTGCTAATATTGTCATTCCTTAACAATAATCAACCTGATCTATTTGTAATCAGGTGAAGCGGAACGCTGTCTGAATTGGGACGAAAGACTTCAAATTTCTCTTGATATTTCATATGGAATAGAATATCTTCACGAAGGGGTAAATGATGGAATAATTCAAAGTTGATATTCTCCAATTTGTCATTTGACTTAATATCACCCATTCTTGGACAGGCAGTCCCTCCAGTAATACATCGTGATTTGAAGTCTGCTAATATATTATTGGACCAGTCTATGAGAGCCAAGGTGAGCAGCCGTACGATGTCTTGCCTTTTTCGATTTTTCTCCTTTTAACCTATTGAAACAACCAAGATAACAATAATGGACTCTAAATGGCATGACTTCTCAACTGTTCCTTTGCTAGGTTGCTGATTTTGGGCTGTCAAAGGAAGAGGTTTTCGATGGCCGAAACTCTGGCATTAAAGGTACATATGGCTACATAGACCCAGAGTATATATCCACATACAAGTTCACAATGAAGAGCGATGTATACAGTTTCGGTGTTATCATCTTCGAGCTAATTACGGCCATCCACCCACATCAAAACTTAATGGAATATGTCAATCTTGTGAGTCTCTTCTTCCTATGTAGTAAAAGTGTTGGTTGTAGTTCATACATCAATATTTTCTATAACATAAAGTTTCCTTTATAAGGCCGCTATGAGTCCAGATGGTGTAGATGAAATCCTTGATAAGCAACTTGCTGGAGAATGCAATATTGGAGAAATGAGGCAGCTAGCTAAAATTGCTCATAAATGCTTGCACAAATCACCGCGGAAGCAGCCTTCAATGGGTGAAGTAACACAAGCTATCCTTAAGATAAAGCAGAGACGCCTGGGTAAAGAAGACACGAAATCCATGGCTGAAATGGATTTTTCACGAATTATGAGCCGGATACAGGAGCAGCATATAGAGCTGACCAAATTGGCCAGCTTGAGTGAGATTAATTGAACAACGGCAACTTCCATTCTACTGTCTCAGGTTTACTTCACTCTTTCTGTTCTCCGAAATCCAGAGCAACTGATACATAGAGATGAGGTGTTTAAAGATTTCTGCCCCTTCGTATGATGTAGTAAGGGTGATTTTCTTAGTCTATGCTCATCAGCACTGGCCTTTGATTGGCAAATATCATTTGAAATCTCACTCTCTTATCTTCTCTTCTCGTCATTGGTTTAGGATTTCAGTATTATAGAGTTATATCTTTTTTGTAAAAGGTCTCGATTTGTTTTGCTTTTTAGTTAAAGTCGTATAAAATTTCATATTATTTAAAAATATTCCTCGTCTTCGTCAAATTTCATATATTTTACACCATATTTGCTAGGTTGACAGAATTTCTTAGATTATTCGAAAGGCTTCGAGGGTTCAAAGTTTGTTCTTCTTTTTCATAATTTGAGGAAGCACAAAATGATTCAAGGTCCACAGACCAATTGAATCATCAGACACTTTACAACATTATTCAAAAAGTATTTGATTCTATTTCTTCTTACAAATTAATTAAGAAATAACAAAATTTATATTCTGACTCAACACAATATAAACTATCATATTAACACAAAATACCCAAATAACAAATACCCTAAACCTATGATCTAATACCTTTAAATGTAACACTCCGAAGCTGGATATCGTATCAAAGATATCACATCCACTAATAAAAACATAGTCACAATTAATCATCACAAAACATATTCTTATCACATGATGTACAGACTAGGTATTCTGGAAAAGAGAATTCTAATCTATTTCCTTAATTTTCCGAAGATAAATTGTATGGAAAGCAAAACAGTAATTTCATGCAAATGCAAACGTAGACGCCATGAGTTCCATTACCAATTGCCAAACTTCAATCAACAATCGTCAGGGCTTTTCTATTCCTTTTCTTTTCCTCACTTAACAATCAACACAGGTATGAGTTGAAGCTTCAAAATAGAGTTCAGCAGGCATAAGATAAAACTGCAATGTAGCCATTATGGCTAAAAACTATAGCAAACCAGAAAACGTCACATAATTTGAATCTGCAAATATTGTATACATTCATTATTTGTCTTCTTGCAAATTCCTTGTATTCTATTCAACATTCAGCCTTCTCTAAAATTCGGAATAAAGAGAAGTTCAACCAGATTATTTATATACGAGGACACCATAGCAAAATCAAACAAAAGCAAAGTGGAAACAGTGAGAGTTAAAAGTCAGTGAGGAAATGTAAACAGCAGTCCTCACCTCTTCCAACTGGAGACCAGAGTTTCAACGCTCTACAAGGTAGTAAACCATATCCAATAACAGTAACTTCAACTCATCAATGAAGTCCATTCTTGATAGGAAATCCTTAGAGTAACCTACAGTTTTGCTTTCTGGTTCCAACAACCCTCAAACCTTTTTAACTTTAGGCTTTCGATTTCTACACTTTGAAAACATTAGCCAACTCAAAACTTGCATGAGGTTCCAAGCCTCAGTCTCTGCCTCTGACTTACACTCCCCAACTTACGATTAGAAAATTCCTGGAAAATCAGATGCTGGAAATTCTCAAGATACTGTACCCACTCCTCTTCACTCATATCACCCAGTTTCACGAAACATGAGCTTCCGACTAGCTGTTCATTCACGCTTCTGATTCCAGATGACGTAGCAGACGAGTAACCATTTTTCAGCATTACTTTCTCATGCCTCCAACTCTTTTCTCCAATACCGACATTTTTCATTGAAATTGACAGTCTTGGAACATTTGGAACCTTGTCTTGAGCAGCAGTATAAGCACATTCATCTTCCCTTGGTGGTTTTATATTCCCATCATCCTTGCTCCATTCGTCTACATTCTCTTCTACCTTGGAAAGTGGATTCCGGGTATTTCCACCAACCGGACAACAATAAACATGTGATGCCAATTTCTGTTCTAGATTAGAAGTTAAATTGAACCCCTCCTTGCATTCAATTTCAAACTGAAACTCATTCTCTACATTTCTCACATTATCAGAAAGCATATTCCTTTCCTCTAGAACTCTCCTTGCCTCAATACATATGAACTCAAACTCACTTGGCACCTCCTCCGGGCCATGAAACTCCCTACTCATCATCTCACCAATCCCAGCTAAACACAAACCAGAAATTGCTGCTTCCTTGAGAAAAATTGTGCAAACAACCAAGACACGGAGACATGCCTCTCGAATCATTGGAAGCTCCATTCTAAGCAGTTCAGAATCTCGAAATGGATCAAGACGGGATATATATTCAAGCTCATCCTCTGAGAAAGGAATTGATGCCCGAGGCCAATGGATCCACTCAAAGTAGGGGTCCTCCATGTTTTCGGGAAGGCATAGGCCATGATCAATAGGCACAAGCTCCACTTGGTCAAGTCCTCCACCTCCACCAATTTTCCTAACCAGAAGATTTCCAGCATGCCTATCAATGTTCAAAATGCGGATATCTAATATCCCTATCTTATGTACAGCAGCAACTGGAAAGCTTGAAGTCCCATGATCACTGGCATCAAAATCATGAGGGATAAACTGCTGCAGAGAAGCAATCTTGCTAAATTCCTTTCTCTCTTGCTGCTTGTTTCCATTCACTCCATCATTGACATTAAAAATAAAGTGTGTGACCTTCACAAGAGCAGTTGAGGGAACATTGGCAGAGTGATCATAGTCAAGAAGATAAGCTGCTGCCTCCCTAAAGCCAGTCTCCCCAACATGCACTGAGCGTTTCAGTCCTGGCTGCCCAAGGGCTTTGCCAATAAATCCTTTTGGGTTGTTTGGGGCATAAGATTCTTCATCGGTTGGTTTAACAATTGCACAATTTTCACCCTGGCTATTTCGAAAATAGTAGGCACCTCCTAGACCACCACAAACATGGATGGGATCAACCCCAATTTTCATAGCTTCCACAATTTCCCCTACCAGTTTCTTTATCCTGGAGAAGTTATTTGAACACACTAATATCTCAATGGGATCACTCTGATCTCTCTGCTGAATATCCTTCCCATTAGGTGAGAGATATGGTGTAGATGTGCTTCTATGGATGAAGTTTCTTGTGAGAATAAGTGGAGAATCATGTCTGACAGTACTTAGATCATTCTTCAGCACCACATCCCCAAATATGAGAGACCTCTCCTCTATTGGAACATTAAGAGCAATCTGTAGTTTCCTTTTCACAGTATGGGCATTGTCACTCCTATCTAACTCTATACCAAGAACAGAGCCAGTTTCAGTCTGAACAAATACTGTCTTCTTCCAGAAGGTTTTGTTTCCATCCTCTTATTTCAATGACATTCACTGTTAAAGAGTCCCTTAAATGCTGCAACAGCCATCGAGTTAATATAATGGAACAGTTCAGATCACGATATGTGAAATGAAAAGAAGTACCGGTATGGTTCAGTGCCAGCAGTGACGATGGCGACGGCAGAGAGCTTTTCTCTCAAGCAGACGCTAAATTCAAATGCTGGTAAAACTTGAATGGAAATTAATGTGTTGTATGTGTTCATAATCACCCATATGAATCTAATCAGTAACTCTTTGTTTTACATTGTAACCGGTCCTGTAAAGCAAAAGCAGATATAAAATACAGTGAAACTGCTACATGGTGGAAGTAAGCTGATACCAGTAACCAATGGAAAGATAAAATAACTACTAAAAGAAACACAAGAAAAACTGATTCAATTTCTTAAAGAAGAAAATGAAGTAAAGCTGAAAATTCCATTATCAAAAATCAAAACGAAAATTAGAGGACTAAATACATCAAGCAAGTAGTAATCACAAGGACAGCTGCATTAAATCAAATTCATTGGAACCAAAAAGAAAAAGCACACTATTACATTTACTAGAGTATTATGCAGTAAATTCTATGCCTAAATTAACAACTATATATGGAAAACACCAAAAGAACTAAAGCTGAAGTAAACTTAATTTGCTTCAAAATATATCTTGAAATAATAGAAAACATAACTCATGCTTTCTTGATCAAATAACTATGAAGTTGAATATTTTAAATGAGAAACCATTTGTGATGAAATCAAAACGTTAATATCAATTTATCCTCCCAAATATTATAAAGGAAAAAATGAAATAATAGACCACGTATCCATTCCAAACCTAAAGGCTGCTACATGTTTCCTTTCAAACGTACCCTTACTAAAACTCAGATGCCAAATAGATTTGATAACTGAGCAAAGATGCAGCCATGCTAGAAATAAAATGCCAAACGAAGACTGTAAATTAGAACCAAAAGAAACAGAATTAGAAGAATAAAATAAATTTTATATAAATCATCATTGCAAACCGCTGTGTATATAGGATTACGATCATTCTTGTTTACTAAAACAAATATTCATCAAAAATATTGTTTGCTTTTCCGAAGGAGTTTTTCCTTTCACTTTTCCTTTCAAAAGTAAAAAAAAACAACAGGAAAAATATTATCTTCGATAGTTTAAGAAAATCAAAGAATTCATTCTTTCTTTTCTTAATACTTTATATGATTTACCAAAAAAATATGTTTTCCTTCAGTTTTTGCTTCCTCAAAACTCTAATAGGCATCTCACTATCAACATGAAAATGAAAAAAAAAAAGAGGAGAAACAGTTCGAGATCATTCTTCTGAACAATAAAATAAATAAATAAGAAAATAGAAAGTAGTTGCATTAATTCGAAAAAGGGAAAGTGAGGACGAAAGACTCGCCGGTTACGAAAATTGACGACGGAGCCGCGACGGAGAAAGAGATACCGCCACTAATGAAAACTAACGGTGGAGATTCGACGATGAGAAGGTAAACGAACGGTATGATCCGATCAGTATTTTTCTCGGTCCAACTTTGGTTTTCTGAGATTTGTTTGTGTTTAACCTCTTTTCAGGAGAATAGGAAAGGAGGGGTGTTAACAGTTAAATAATAAAAATATTAAAAGTTTTGGAAATTAGTAATTGGGCAGTATAAACTACGTGGATGCTTCAGATTTGCCTTGTCATATATAGGTGACGTGGCCATATCTTGGATGGGTGGAGCAGTTAATCGGTTGGCGCTTGGCGTGTTTGCCGAAACCTAGGATTGTATCAGTTTTTATATTATCAAATTTTTTATATATAAAAAAAGGTCTCGTTAAAATAGTATTCTGTCTAATTGGAAGAAAAAAAATA